TAATAATAATAATTTTAATACTTATATATGGCGCAAATTTGCATGTGAATATGATCAAATATGATCAAAAATAAGAATTGATCAAATACTTTAACAAGTACAAGTACAAGTTCAAATCATTATTTTATTTTGTTTTTAGACCACGTCTTATTCCCTTGAGAGTCACTGATACACCTTTCATTGCACTACTGAACATTGATAGTGTTGAAATCATAAAAATAGCTTCCCAAAAATAAATGTTGTAAATAGGTTGGCGATACGTAAAATGGCCGACCTAACGGACACTACTCACATGGTATGGAAAAAGTCGTAAAAATATGCCGGAAGGCTTCTATATTAGATAGATATAWGTTACAAAGCAATGCGCAAAAGTATAACCACATTTAATACATTCGAATACTTCTATGCACGGATCTTGTACGCTAATCCRACACATTTCGATAAGAAGCTGGCTCAGTGGTTTTACCAAATGAGGTGTGCMAAMGCTCGTTTSACAGGAAAAAGCCCTCATRCTTTTGCGYGTTGCGCTGTAACWTTTCAGCCAGAAATATGCATGACACAAAATKAAGCCTGCATCCAAGGCCCGACGCCTGTGATGCACCAATCGTCATTGAATTTTCACGAAAAATAAATATTTTAGAATTCTTCATTTTTAATCCTTCTTTAATGATTTTGTTGCGCGCACGAATTTGTGCAGTAGAAGAATTTTTCAAGACTCAATCGCTTTACCTTTTCTCGAGTCAGGAGCTTGTATAATAGTAATTGCAGGTCGAGCAWGTGTGTTGACTTGTTTGATCTGAGCCAAGTGACGTTCCTTGATATCATCTGGTATGCAATCCAAGGACGCCTTGTCGACAACCAACTGGGTCTTGTTCTTGACTAAAAACAGTTCTGACAACTAAGTATCAACATAATAGGATTAGTATGGTAATTTGAACGTATAATTTGTATTAGAAATTTACACCACTCTGATTGATTTTGGTTAAGGGAAGCCGTGGCTCATGTTGGCTCATGTGATCTCTTAGTCCAAATTATCGACTATTTTATCTCCAGTGTATGCAGTCTAGAATCCAAGAGCTGCTTGTTTTGTTATTCTGGTTTTTGCTTTTTTTTACCTATATTAACTAAGAAAGTGGGCGAGGCTAAGAGGTGAGTCGTCAAAATTCTATGAGCGTTTTGATGTCAGTCCATTAAGCTAGTAAATCTAATTGAATTACGAAATGCCCCAACATTTGATTAACTTTGTCAATTACTGTGGGCCCAGTAAAATGGGCCCTGTAGTAATCACAAGCACTGGCACTGAAGATGGTCGTCACCAGAGCGTCTTCAGTGGGTCTTTAACGCCCGCCTTCACAGGGTTATAGTGAAGACACACGGGACCTACGGTTTTAAATTATTACCGGAGGTTGTCCAGCTTTTGTCCCGAAAGTCCCTTTTTACTCCTTCCTTTGGTCACCCCTCTGATCTCCTTCCCAAG